AAAAAATGATAGGCCCCAAATCACCAAGCTGGCTTTTGGACAAAGGCAGGACTAGAACTCATGATTTCCTGGTTTTTAGCCCCACTGAGCCTAATGACTACACCAAACTGGCATATTTATTACTTTTTAATGTAGTACTAACAACTTATATTATATGAATAGTTGTAAAATAAAAACATTGATAAAATAGGTTTCCTTAATTTTTGATCATTAGCTGCAGGGTTAACAACTCAGCCCAACAAATTAATTTCTAATATTCTTCTTGTACCTCCTCTTCCTTCTCCTCCTCATTTGATGCAGGACTGAATACTTAATTTCTGTAATTTTGTGGTTCTAATTAGAGCATTTCCACTACCCCCAAATGACCCATTTTGTTTTGTTATTTTTGCTATTAGATTATTTTAATCTGGGCTGTCTATTTAATTCAATGTTTTGAAAATTTCCATTTTCTCTATTTCTGTATGCTGCCCAGAGCCCACTAAAGTAGGAAGGCCAATATACAATACATTTAAATACACAAATGAATGAGTAATAGAGGTGTTTTTGATCTGCATGATATTTGCATCTATGCTAAGAAAGAAACCATGATTAATTTTGGCAACAAATGACACTGTAACTGAAGCTGCAATTTGGTGGTGATTTACAAATCTTACTTTATTTAAGCTATGTGATCATCATGCCTGAATCTAGAATCTTAGCCTTACTGCAGATATTGTTTGTGCCCTGTCAATTTGTAAGGAAAGAAGGAATGAAGGAATAGAAAAGCCAGGAATCTGCTGAGTAAGTCTGATTATATTTGGTTGACTGCAAGACTGACCCCATTAGATCAAATTATAGCTTAAAGCTGTAATGTTACGTTACTCAGCCATTGAGTTTAACATCAGTACCCACTGATGGTTCACACCTGGCAAGTCAGCTGAGTTAAAAGAATTCTCCACAATTTCCATTTCCATATATTTGAATACGAATCTAAGAATAAAAGTGAAACTGATGTAAAAAATATTAGGACTACAGCACAATCTCTCAAGTGAGACTACAGTCCATTTCTTCAACTTAAAGAAGGTCCAGACATACTAAGACTTCAACTTCCCAAGACATACGCTACATGGCCAAAGGATGAAAATTCATATACACTTAATTCTCTTATGGGAAAAACTGTGTTAATTGTTTTGAATTTCAATAATCATATTAATTCCAGATACAAATATATGTAAACCAAAGCCTTCAGGAAAAGGTGCTATATAATTAATAACGTTAAAGCAGGTTTCAGAGAAATAACAAAATTAAGGCAGGCAGACAAAGCCAGTGTCTAAACAAATGTTTCATTTCCTTTTGGTGGTGAAATGGGGAAGGGTAACACGTAAAGCATTGATACAGCTAACAAGCTGTATTGCCTCAGAAAAGGAAATAGCTGACAGTTTCTATCAAGCTTTTAAAATAAACAGGAAGTTAAGTGGAAAAGGAAAAAGCAAGCCACGCTCAATACTCATAGTCTTTCACTTCAAACAAATGGAAAACTGCAAGACAAGAGCAACACCGTTTATGCTACTGACATTGGTAACATCAGTACAATAATTATCAAATTATATTATTCAAATATACAAAAAAGCTGTTCTTTTTTTAAAGCAAAGATTTTACAGAAATATTTAATAACAAAATCTGTTAATAACTTTTGTTTGTAAATTTATGCCTATCTTTTGGCAAAATCTTCACCAATAGGTTTTGCCAAAGCACTTCTGTAGAAAAAAAGGGATTTCTTTTATTTGCAATTTAGAAAGACTGTCATTTTTGCCCTCGTGATTTTAAAATTGCCATGGCAATTTTAATTGAAATTTTAACTGAAAACCGAACCTAATAAGAATTTCTGTATTCTAACTCAAGTGCAGCAAGTAAAACTTGCCACTTCATGAATACATTGACTTTGTCTATAGATTTTTTTGATTTTTACAATTCAGAGGCTCCAAAAACTTTTAAACTATCTGTTTTAGAGCAGATTCTAATTTGATATCTCAAGTATCAAGGAAAATTCTGGTCCCAAATTATATAAAAAAATTAAAATTTTAATTTAAAAGTTATGAACACAATTCAATGGCAACCATCACATCAGTATGAAACTATGGCTTTTAATTCATTTGTAGTCATGTATTTAAATCAGTTTTTTAATGATAAATTACAATCTGTGTTCAGCATGATGTGAATAAGTTTTGAATGGTTTACAGTTACCAGGAAAAGAAAAGCATGGAAACTGCAGTCTTATAATATGATAATCCACATATTATTATTGGCATATTATTATTGGCAAAGGCATAATATTATTGGCAAAGGCATAACATTACTGATAATTAGTAACAAAATAATCAGGAACAAAGGGGACTTAATGTTCATAGATTTAACTTTTGAAGCACATAAAATCAAGACATAGTCATATCAATCATGTCTGAGATTTTACTGGCAGTCCTAAAATACTAAGTTATCTATGAACCCTAAAACCATGAATCTGCAGGATAGTTTAAACAAATTATGAGCAAATCTTTGGTTTAATGCAAATCCACACTTGTCTGTTCATTTACACTTATGTTTTCACCAAATTCTAATAACTTATTGCTTAACATTTTGAAACAATCAATGCTCCTATTCCATGGCTAGGCCATTACTATAGACAAAACTAAACTGACTCGCTCTTGTAAGTGATAAAGACAGAACTATATCAGAACTATGTTCAGTTACTATAAATCCTGTTTTCCTTACAAAAATGGGATATCTATCTTTATCTTCACAAAATGATTGCAAACTGTTACTACAGAATGATAACAGAAGGCCACTGAACCAGCAGATCTTATTGGAACAGAAGGAGACAAATCACTATAGAGATAGTTTTAACATCAAGCTTCAGATGGCCACAATCCTTACTGATTTAACTCTACATAAGACTAATAGTAGCTATAAGACTAAAAATGTCCCAATTATTTCTGTTCATGTCATGAGAACTGACTGAGTGAGCATGCTCCCGGTCCTCTCTATTAAACATGTCAACTTATGTTGTTGTGTCTTCTCTGCTCCTGTGCTGACCAGCTGAAATAACATCTCCCCAAAGAGATCCAGATAGCTTCAAACATGGTGATCTTTCTCAAGGTTTAATGACACAGTTGCTCCACACAGCATTTGGCCCAGGATATTAAGCAAACTCCATTGATTGTTTCTTTCAGTTGTTTTCACCAATTGTGAATTCTGAATGTTTTAGATGTTAAGTAGGTGTTCTGTTGATAGTCTTGGCTGTCTATTTTAAACAACTAGGGTGGAATTTTTAATTTTCTGTTTGTCACCTAGAATCATCACAGTAGTGGGATGATTGGCCGTATGATTGCTTAGGTATAAGAGTTAGCCTGTGGTAAGACATGTGGCCTTAACATTTAATAAAGAAAAGATAGAATGAGAGAGAGAGAGAGAGAGAGAGAGAGAGAGAAAGAAAGAAAGAAAGAAAGAAAGAAAGAAAGAAAGAAAGAAAGAAAGAAAGAAAGAAAGAAAGAAAGAAAGAAAGAAAGAAAGA